TCACTCTAGGCTACACCGAACCCTCATAAGTCTCCGTACACCACCCGTCCAGGAAACAAGGGTATATTTGTCGAATCGGAATAACCACGATAGAACAAGCTTTCAAAATGGCCTACCAAACCAGAGCTGCTTAATCCTCTCTACTTATACCATAATTTTAATACTATACGCGTGGTCTGGATTCCTCTCGGTATGGTGGGCACGGAGACTTTTGAGGGCTGAGTGTACCATGCCGCGAGGCTGCACTGGGTATGACGGCGGCCAGCCTTGCCGATATATATTGATGGCAAACGGACTGTGCGAAACAAAATCGCCATCATTCCACTTAGACTACCACTAAGCTCGTATGAACGAGGTGGGTTGATCACAATCACGGAAAACGGTAACGTTCACTATGTGTGGAAGGCCACGCCCTGTCATATCAACTGTGCCGAGCCAGCATCGGCATCCAAGTTAATAGGTCTATTAACTACAGTTTCAGCATCGCAGAGGTCTTTTTACATGTACCTGTTGCGTATACTTTAGTTGGCGGATGGGTACGCACACGAAAGACGAGATCAACGTTTGCATATATGTGGATGTGGACTCGTAAAGGTACTCATGCATGGAACTACCATGATTCACCAGCATTGAACATGATAACAATGTGGGTTTCTATGCATCCGAACAAGGGATCATCTACCGGCCCTTAGTCACTATAGAATAATCATGACTAGCATTCAATGCTGCCATCACTTGTCATCGGATGCAAGGTCTGCTCGTTTATGAATGAGACACCGCACAACCAGGCAACCTCCGAGTGCGTGGCACAGTTACACCTAATAAGACCAGCCGCGTCTTGATGATGTAGGATCTTGCTACCATAGCTGCTCATGATGTGGTGGTGGAAAGTTGGTTCCTAGCAGCAGTACCTGATAGTTAGTTACTAGCGAGCGGCTCTGGTGGTGCAAGTACAACACTTTATTTATAGGCATCTTCATGATCCAATACTTCAAGTCACCTAGTTTCAGGTGATGTTCTCTTGATAGCAGGGTCTGGTAGTAGCAGTGACACCTCCTCTCAACCCCAGGTGTGACCACGTAATGGTAGCTGAGAGGGTCCTACCGGAACGTGCATCGGCGAATACGCCTCTGACGAGGTATGCGTGCCCGTTTGTAGTGGAACAGACTTTAACACTAGAGACCAACACCACCAATTCGCAACCATCCAGAATGAAGCAAGTAACGTAATAGTTCTGCGGTCTCGTTGCGGGATGCGAAGATTCCGTCTGGTATAGCACGGTGTACAAATGTCGGTCGACCTCATTCAGCCGGTCCGAGACGAATAGGGAGAGGATAACATGGTAAGCACTCCATGGGGATTATTACTGTGGTATTCATCTTTATAGCTATAATCAGGGCTTGACACAGTTTAATTATTAGACCTATCCGGAAAGAAGGCCACCGCTTTGCCGACATACGTAACACCGAAGTCACACCGGCACACATATATCATACCTATCCTAGCAAGCTGACGTGGTCCTAACGTCGTGTATCACTCGAGCGCTTCTGGGAACCGACTCGAGAACATGGTTCGTGGCTCAGTCCATGCTTTGCAGACACACAGGAAGATAGCTACCAAGACGAGGCCCCTCAGGGGTTGGAACTTGGGAGGACCAAGCTGAAGACTTGGTACCATATTGGTCGTGTCTGTCTGATGTATCCTTGACGACAGGAGAAGGTGAATTAAAGTTTATTAAAGCCTCTCGTCAACGTGGGAGCCCTCTGTGGCTACATAGTATTCGAATATCCGGCACCCCCCAATGGCCTAATTAGGAAGTGCTAGCCGAGGTGTGAGTGACTGATGTCGTCTGGTATGTAGGGCTGTGTGGCTGCGTGGCTGTGTGGTACTGTGGCTCGATACCAATTAGTAATGTAAGTCCAGTCACATGTAACGACTCCGAAAGTCCGGGGCAGGCCGAGTTCCTAGGAGCTCCCGCTGGAACGTTCCAGCCGTTGGACTGGACTAGCGGGCACCCGGATGCATGTCAGCCAGGTACCGAGGAGCTGCATCTCCGGGAAGAACGCATCTGTACCCAAGTGACGGAGTAGTCGTCGACCTGCAGGCTCACGTGGGCAAAGGCCCAGGACGACGGCACAGCACAAACGACGGGGCTGAGGCGCCAAGGCGCATGCACAGGGGCGTGATAACATGGCATTCTGACTTTTCCATGTCCTCTCGCCCGTATTCCCACAGGCACGGGAGATCTAGCACAACCTATGCCACAGATAGCCGGGACGGGAAGGCTGTGCACTACCCGCACAGATGCAACTTGCAAGAACTGCTCGGGTAATTACTAATAATAAAGGGTACACGTTGCCGCCTGACAGCCCATGACTGCGAGGTGTATGGCAGTATGGTCACGAGGCGTGAAAAAAGTTGATCGACTCATGTCCACCTCGGGGCCTCGGCTCTCTAGCTTGGATGCTTTGACTCACACTTGCAGTCGTGGGCGGCCTCGACAGCGTCCAAGCTCTGACGCCCTAGTGGAACCGGAAACCAGCCAGTCGGTGATGATGCACCCCTAAACCCAAAATTGATCACCTGGTGCGTGGGACAAGAAAACCACTTCCACCGAGCTCGTTTACCGGAGCGGAGCGCGAACACGACAAGAGCGAGCCTTGGCCAACGTCGAATGTCCTACCTCGTGCTGTAGCCAGCCGCGAAGAGCCGACCGGCATAGCCGGATTTTCACAGATTTCACACAGCAATGGGAAGAAATTGAAGCTCATCGAGAATCGAGAGTCGAAAGCCGAAAGCACAGCCACTGCCAACAGGGCTGCAGGGGTGGGCTGTGGCTGGGCACAGGTAAACTGTACCGGTAGTGGACGGAGCTGGAGGGAGAGCCCTGCGGAGACCACCGTCGGTTGTCGGTTGCACAACAGCCCGCAATCCAGCCCCCAATCCAGATCGCTGGGACGGGAACCTTCCGACCCAACTATCAACTATCAACGGCGTCCAACGTTAATCGTTAATCGTCTGTGCCCGCCGTGCGCGCTGCCAGTAGCACCCAGCGAGGAGGCGGACATGTAACTTACTGCAAGCAGAGACCGGTCATCTTTCTGTACTCCAGATGGATTACCAAACCGCAAATAGTCAGTTTGCCATTCACGCTACGAGACACCGAAGTCGACGTTCTCCTCGGTATCTGCTCCAGCTGCGCAGACGCCGGTGACTACGCCGGTTATATGCACGGCGACAGTGCTCACTAAGTAATAGTCAGGCTCAGACCGCATGCAGATAGCTAGGGCTGCGCGGCCGAATCAGGCTGGCAGGCTGGATGGGGCCGGGGCCCTGATAACTAATAATACGACCCTACATATGTCAGAACTCTATGCACCTTGGTAAGTTAGTATCCGTAGCTGACCAAGCGCTGCGAAGTCGGTGCCAAACCTAGAGGTGAGGATGACCTGCGTTCTGCGTTCCTGTGTTCCCGAGCTTCCGTGGCTCCGGCCCGGCACCGGAGAAGCCGCCGCAACGTGACATCTGCAGTTCCTCTTTGCGTCTCCTCCGCCGATGCCGGTTGGCTGGCTTACTGACCACGGGCGCTGCATACGAGTTGATAAGTTCCAGTACCTGTTCATGACACCGAACAGTCACGTTCTCACCAATTGCCTAGAATGCCCTAGATAGATGCGGCCTCCAGCGGTGGTGGGTGTTTGGCACGTGGGAACGAGATGGGTCTTGGTAGCCAATGAAGGACATGGGGTCCACGGGTGAGTCCCGTACTACATAGAGGTATACAGTTGTATAAAGACGGCGGAAAGACTTTCCAAAACAGGAAAGCAGGTAGTTGCAAACAAAAGACTCGGCAGTTTATAAGATTCTCCTAGTTAAAGTTCTCCCTCCTGCTGCTGCTGCTGCTGCTGCTGCTGAATGATAGCAAGTGTGGCGTTGCGACTAGGTTCAATTGGCTAAATAGTAAGAGTGGCAGTGCACCCAGTGAGCTTCGACGGTTGATTGCAGATCCTTGTACTACCTTTTTAGTATTCTGGTAAACGTGGACACTGTACTGCCCGAATTCGACAGTGATAACAGCATTGAAAAGGAAAGCAATCGAGGGCACGTAGGGCCGTAGGTGATGATGATGATGATAATAATAATAATAATAATAATAATAATAATAATAATAATAATAATAATAATAATAATAATAATAATAATAATAATAATGTCGGGTGCCTACATACGAGGAACAGGAACTTTGATGGGCCTGCCCCCACCTGTGTATCCAAATCTGTCAATCTGGAGACCCACCCTACCCTTAGATGTCTACGTCATGATAGTCGATCGGGGCCGCACGTAATCGTCACTGAGCTTCCAGATGCTACCACATTCCCACATTACCACATTCCAGCGCCCTGCATCCCATGATCCCAGCCTATTCCCAGCTTCTGCATGGTGCCCCGGACTTGCGGACCTCCACTCCCTCTGGACCCTGAATGCTAATACTTCGTGTTCTCTATTTGGGTTAGGTACCTTACACACGAAGGTCCAGTCATCAGTCATCAGTCATCACCCGAGGACAGAGGACAGAGGACAGAGGACAGAGAGAAAGCATTGATTAAAATCAATGCTTGGATCAAGGTCCAAGGTCCAAGGTCCAAGGGACAGACACCGGGCGCATTGCCGGTGGAACCCGGTCCCGCAGGCTGGGCTCGCCTGCACGCTTCCGACAAGGTAGGTGTGTGAAGTATACACGTACCAAATGTAGGTGACGACGGGACTCCATGTCTACCTTATTGTACCTAGGTACGTACAAGTGTACAAGTACTGCCCACCCTTCTGCCCCTCGAGGTGACATACATATATATAAGTCCTTTGCCACCCCGGACACGTTCCACCCCACACAACCTCTTTGATCTTTTCTTACCAAACACACCACGTACATCACTCTTCACACATTACACATCACGCCACACTACACCACACCACAGTACACTACACTACACCCGGCATACATGAACTCCTACTCCTACTCCTACGACATCGACACGATGCTCACACAGAACAACTACCCCTCGAGGCATCACCAACCTCGCCACCACCAGTACTACACACAACCACAACAACAACAACAGCAGCAACAGCAGCAGCAACGACAACACCTCGACTTCGACCTCGACCCGAGTACAACGTCGCTCTCGGCACTCGACAACATACCCGCCGCCGCCGCCGCCATCGCCGCCTCGCAACGTTACAGGGCTCCGACGCACTCGCAGACACAGCCTGCTGAGCGTGGATCCAGCCAGAGCCAGAGCCAGAGTCTGAGCCAGGTGCCGGATTTGATGCCTTCAGACACGTGGATGCTCCACAGCAGCCAACAGACCCAACAGACACCGAGAGGCCGCCGCTATGGTCACCAGCGGGAATCGTCGCTGTCGTCGCTAGGGTCCAACGGGCCGGCGTCGCCATACAATACCAACACGTCGAATCCGCAGATAGCAGTCACCGACTCCGGTGGTGAGGTCTTCCACGACATGGGCGGCGCTGGTGGCGGTACCAACTACTCGTATGGCCTGGGTAAGCCCCTGCCAATGGCCGACAACTTCTACGCCAGCGCCATGGCCAACTTTGATGCCAGCAACGGTCTGACAGGACACGAGGCGGCAACGTCGTCGAACATGCGACTGGCTGATGGCCTTCCCAGCCCATCAGCGCATCAGCAGAGGCGAAGAGGCTTAGCACCGGCTGCCGAGTTATCCCTGGCCGGTTCGTCGACGACGTCACGCCCTGTGTCGGTGGCGAGTTCTACCGCTGGCGGTGACTCACCGGTCACGCCGCCCTACAACGAGCCCGAAGACGACGGTAGAAGGTCAAAGAATGGTGAGGCTTCTCTGCTCTATCAACATCCTGACTCTTACTTACGCGCGTGGTGCGATGCAGCCTTCGCCAGCAACAACAACGTCCCACCCAAGCTAGACCGCACCATGACGGACGTCTACAACGACGAGCTTTACAACCCAAACTTCACCATCACGTCGGCGTCGCCACCGCCGCAGACACGCATGGTCATGTCGCCTAGCAATGAGATCTTCGCCGAGAGGTTGCAGGCGGCCAACAGCCAGCACCTGAGTGCCGCACAGTCTCCGGTGTCGATGACTTCACGAGATCGGTCGCCTTTCCGTCAGGACTCACCGTACGCGTCAGCGCTGGATGACTTCCCGAAGGTGGGGATGAACCAGGTCCGCTTGGGATCAGCACAGCACATGCGGGAGAAGAGAAAGGCCGAACAGGATGCGAGTGAACTGCAGAGGCAGATGGCGCGAAACGCGCAGCAGCACCAGCAGCAGGCAACGCCCAGCACCATCTCACCCAAGGACGCGTTGATCGACTTCAACGAGACGGACAGCAACAGCAACTTTCCCTTGTTCCCGCCCCAGGAGACTGCGGACACGTACGGCATGGTGGAGCAGGCAGATGGCAGCAGCAACAATGAAAATATTAAAAGGGCACCATCGCAACAGCCGAGTCCCTCGTTTCAATCAATGGCGAGTAACTTCAACTTTTCGATGCCGGCCAACGTGCAGGTGCCGCAGCAGTACCCTTTCATCACGCGGCGGCAGCAACATCAGTCGCCGGCGTCGGCGTCCAACCTGTCCAACCTGTCGCGGATGAGCTCGGGCGAGGCCAGCGCGTCGGACTGCGCCAACGCATCTTCACAAAAGCCTGGCAGGACAGCGGCCGACGGTGGCACGTACACTTGCACGTACCACGGCTGCACTCGACGGTTCGAAACTCCGGCGCTGCTCCAGAAGCACAAGCGTGAGGGGCACCGGCAGGCCAACGCGCTCAACCACATCAGAGCGTTGTCGGCGGTGTCCCCGACGACGCCGACGATGACAGCGGATGGCAGCGTGCTCAACAGCCAGGCAGGACCGCACCGGTGCGACCGCATCAACCCGAGCACGGGCAAGCCCTGCGGCCAGGTGTTCTCGCGGCCGTACGATCTCACACGTCACGAGGATACGATACACAACGCGCGCAAGCAAAAGGTGCGCTGCGACCTCTGCACGGAAGAGAAGTCGTTCAGCCGGGCCGACGCACTCACGCGCCACTACCGGGTCTGCCACCCGGACGTTGAGTTTCCCGGCAAGCACCGACGGAGAGGCGTGGCAGCTTAGCTCTACGGCTGCTACCCAGTCTGGACAGACTCTACGTGTACACCGACAGCAGGATCAACTATCAACTACGGCTTCACCGACTCCAGGAGCAGGACGGGTCCCGCTCTAGACAGGTCTCGAACTTTTGATGTCTGGTAGGATGGAAAATCAGGTCCAACGCTAGTCGACGTCGATGATGCAGGGTCCTGCATGGCCTGCATTGGCGTGCGGGGCCTGCAGCGGGGCTTGCTGCAGGCGGGCCTTGGTGGCCCCGTATTAGCGTCACCGTGGTCCGTCACTGCATATCGCTCCGCCCTCATTGGCCCGACCGCTCGAAGGATGACGTCGGCGGTCGTGCCGATGGGATGCGATGGGGACGACGTCATCCTTCTCGCGATCCATGCCTTTCTGTACATAGTACCTGCTACCTGCTACCTGGCTGTGGGGTACTGCATCATCCTCGATATCATCCTCGATCCCTTTTGTCCACCCATCTGGAACTTTGGACGTGCTTGGGAACACACCCTGTCACCCACCCGGTCATGCCGGTCAGCCTTTTTTGAGAATATTCTCTACTTCCATCGGGAGTCGGGAGTCGCTCTTCCTCGATTGCCGCTTTGGATCATGGGTGACGCGGGCGCTCCGTCTGTCTCACACGGCATGCACCATGATCATGATGCCTTCGACATCATCGAATCCATCTTCGCAAAGTTTCGCATTTTGTTTGGCACCCACCACATTTTCATCTAGCACTTGGTTCCGGCGGGCGCGCACGGTTTCTATTTCGGGCTTTCTTTCCCTTTCCTATGTCATAGACCGGTCTGATGGGTTGTCCAAGCATTTACGGGTATAGACAAGACTTCTCGACGTACAGATACCACCTACCCCCATTGTAATGCCGCTTCTACTTGTACTATTTTCACCCCTTTCCCTTGTTTTCCAGCGGGACATATGGCGACGAGATTTGTATCTCGGAAAGTTGATGGATCAGAGAGGGGACGACTGAACGATATCTCACGACGTGTGTACGAGCAAAAGCCATGGTGGCCATAATTGGAGCTTTGTGTACGAAACGAGTTGGCAGTACCCACTATAGACAAATAGAACATGATCCGCGAGGGTCGCTTAATTATTCCGTTACCATTCTTTTGATCTCGTAAATGGGCCTTGATTCGTATGAGGGCACATATCTATGTCCATCTACCCATCTATGTCGGTGTTGATGATGAATGCCGGATCTGATGACGGAGCCGAGACTTGAGAAACCACTGGGTAAGAAGACAAACCACCTGAACAGGCGCCCATTTTGCCTGCGCCCTTACTTGCGACCTCAGGCCGCCGATCGCCCGACTTGAATTTGGCCGACACCAATGACATGTCATTTCGCCATTTGTGGCGTCTACTATCTAGAACTGCCAAACTGGCACCTCGCTCTGGGCGTCTAAGCGACAAGAGACGACAACCTCAACAACAACAACAACAACATGCAGCTGCAGTGCTACCTCGTGCATGATGGCGTCCATGCGACGTGATGCCATCGGGCAGGGTCCAGCCGACGTCGATGACGACGGCGGGGAAAGGACAAGCCGCCTCATGCTCATTGCTGTGCGCACCGCCCGGTGACCGACTCCAGCTCTCTGGAGTCTTGCCCGGCTCCCCGGCCCTTTCGACCCCCCACAACGGCACATCACCGGCAGCACAACCTACTGCTGCCACACACACATCAGCCACGCCACAAAATCCAACGCTTTGCTTGGTGGCGTGAACCACATGCACTTCACTGTTGTATTTGTGGCTGCGCTGCCGTTGTTCACATTGGCCATCCATTCAACCCCTATCATATCGTCTACTGCGCGGCATGATGAGCGTGGTCTCTCACCAACTTCCCACACGCACAGGGGATTATGCACTCAACAGTAAACCGCCCTTGCTCCAACTCAAGTTGAATCGTTATGTGGACTGACGTCCCTACGCCCTCATAACCCACCCATCTGTGATATCTGGGGCAGAGTGACGGCCTTGCATATGCCAGGAACCACCACCCTAACATCTTGCTGCGACGAGTGTCGTGAGCATGAGGACATGGCTAGTTTGCATTGTTGAAAGTGGCAGCTGCTTCTACTTTTTACTTTTGATTCTCTCTCCCGTCACGTCGGGGTCACCAACAGGGACGAGCTGGTTGCTAGCTATGACGAAAGCCACAACTCCCTCCCGGCTGTACAGGCGTAAGCCCGCGTCGAGATTCATCAAGCTACCGCCTCCTACGCTCATAGTATCATTATAACATTCGGCAAATTCGGGACATGTGTCCGTCTATACTCCCGCCCGGAGGCCCCACAAGCCTCTAGACTCGGTCAACGCCGCACTGGGGGGGGCGACTACTCACTCATTCGCCCAACACAGCCGCCCGAGCGTCGGAAAACAACGGGGTAATACCCGTCCACAGTTGGAACTGTCCAGCGTTAGCGGTGGGCGAGGGGTGCCATCATGGCCGGCGTCACATACCTGGTAATAGCCTTGCGCGGCGAGGATCTCGAGACCGGGGAGCGTGACCCAGCCCGAGTCTTCGGCCAGCCCCATCAACGGCGTGTGGCGGGGCTTGTATGCCATCTCCAGCAATACCCGTATGCTTCCAGGGTGCCGTGGTTGCCGTAGCACCGACACCACCAACTCTCTCATAGATGGATCGATGGGTCTGTCGGCCGGCACGGTGCTGATGATGACGTTCGGGAGGTGGCGGACGTGACTAGCGTCCTCGACCCGCTCGATACGGTACTCGTCGGGGAACGACGAGCAGAGCGACTCGGCCGTCTTGGTGTTGCGCGCCACAATGTAGATAGGACTGTAGCCGAGCGAGTGCAATGCGTAGGTGGCGGCCCTAGTAGTGCCGCCCGAACCGACCACCATTGCGCTGCCCGTGCTTGTCTTACCCGGTGACACGAGCCCCGACGACCGCAGCGAGTACACCATGCCCATCCAGTCCGTGTTGTCGCCAAGCAGCCGCGTCTCGCCCCCGCCCTGCGTCGAGGCCACGGGGATGATGGTGTTGACAGCACCGATGACGCGCGCCGAGTCCGACACGTCGTCGAGTAGTTCCATAATGTCGAGCTTAAGTGGGATCGTCACCGACGCCCCGCCAAAGTCGGCCGCGCGGATCCGCTCGCGTACCTCGGCCGCCGTGTCCGTCTCGAAGAGCGAGTACTCGTGAGGCAACCCCGCCTGGCCGAAGAGCGTGTTGTGCAGAGCCGGCGACCGCGACGCCGAGATGGGCTTGCCAAATAGGTAGAACTGCTTCTTCTCCAACTCCCCAATCAACGACAACCCACCGCGGATCTCGGCAGCCGATAGTTGGCCGGGGGCCGCCTTGAATGGCAGGTCGGGATGCGACACCGGGGTCAAGAAACCGTTGAGCACCCGAGACAGCTTGCCCAGGGTGCCCATGTTCAGACCGATGATCGGCTTGCCATGCGCCGCGAACATCCTGTCCCTGAAGCTCGCCAGCGCAAAGTTGTCGTCCACCTTTTGCGCGACCCCGACGAGTTTGATCACGTCACCGTACTGCAGGGCCCGGTTGTACCAGGGCTGCCATCCGCCGTTCTTCCAAGACAGTCTGCCCTCTGGATCATGGTGGGACGCGATCAACCGAGTGGAGCCCCCGCGACATCTCAGGATGGTATCCAACGTCTCGTCCGAGAGAGACATCTCGAGATCGACGTACTCGACGCCTATGCGCATGGCTGTGCGGTACAAGGGGAGGACCTCTTTCTCGGACGCGTAGCTGAACCGGCCGCCCTGTGATTTGGACCGTAGCGTAAATATGATGGGCAGTTTCGCAGCCGAGCGTAGAAGCGATACCTGATTCCCAACAGACTCGGGTGACAGGTCATCAAGAAGGTCGACGCGCAACTCGACGGCATCGGAGCCCACGCAGACCCGCGGGATGACTTCGAGTGTCAACGACACGCTGGGCAAGGTCAGAGCGACGAAAAAGGACGGGCGCTTCTCCATGACCTGCTCGAGGTGGGTACTCTGGCCGCAGATGACCGAAGCGAAGCGAACGAAGTCAGCCGGAGGGTCACGGAGACCTCCCGAAGGGTCGAGGTACGGGCTGCGGTACTCGAAATTGCTGCATTCCTGGAACAAGGGTTTGCGCCGCTCGTAGACGCCGCGTATCTGTTCTGAATAGGCGGGGCGCGTCTTGTCGCGCATCAGGTATTCGACCATCTGCTCGACATCACGGTTGACGTTAAGGACGACGCCCCCGTTCCGGTGATAGGCGATGAGCAACTCCCGTGCTTCGGGAGTCTCGACGATACCGCCGCCGCAGGAGAACACGTGGCCCCGGCTCTGCTTCTTCAGGACGTCTTTCAAAAGCTCTAGCTCGTCACTTCTGAACCCCTCCCATCCTCGACCGCTGTCTTGGATGATCTCGGGGATGGTCATGCCAGCCCGTCGCTCTAGTTCGTGGTCGAGGTCGATGAAGATCCGACCCAATATGCCAGCCAACCAGCCGCCTGATGTTGTCTTCCCCGCGCCACGCATGCCGACAATGAAGATGGATGGGCCCGAAACATCGCTCTTGGCCGTCTTCGTTCCGGAGGCTTCGGTATCCTCCCCTGACAGGCCGACCTGGAATGAACGGGCCAGCACGTCCCACCAGCCAGGCCATGTCTTGCCTGTGCATTCCCTTTCCAGGATGAGAACCGGACTTGGCGACACAACGGACAGGACGCTGAAGCTCATGGCCACGCGGTGGTCATCATAACAGTATACCCCCCCATCAGGCTGGGAAAGCTCGACCAATTTTTTGCCCGCCACGACGATGCCGTCTTCGAGCTCCGTGCAGTCCACACCAAATTTGCCGAGCTGTTCCCGCATGGCTGCGATGCGATTGCACTCTTTAACCCGCTGGTTGGCAATTCCCGTGATCTTGGTCTCGCCAGACGCCACAGCACCGAGAACAGACGCGGTCAAGAAGGCATCTGTCATGGGCTCCATATCGACTTCTATGCCCTTCAGAGACCTCTGACTGGGACCAGTGACGGTGGTTGACGAGTCCGTCTGCTCCACGCTGCAGCCCATGGGACGCAAAACGTCAACGGCGAAACGGGCGTCGCCTTGCAGGGACTTGGCGCCGATGTTGGGAACAGTACACGTGGTCCCCGTGATGGCGGCAACGGCCAGGGGGTAGGTTGCGGAGCTAGCATCGCTTTCGACGACGTACTCGTCAGGGTTGGTGTATGTACCCTGAGGGACGTGATACGTGTGTGGCTCGTCGGCAGACTTGGTCACGGTTATGCCGAAGGTGCTCATCATGGCAATCGTCATATCGATATAGAGCTGCGAGATTGGCTTGCCGCCGACCAGGCGAAGCGTTACGGGGCTCTTGGCGTACGGCGCACACATGAGCAGAGATGACACATATTGCGACGAGATGGTGGCCGCCAGCTCAATGGCACCTCCATCGAGGCCACCCGCCGCATCGACCTGCACTGGCAGGCTACCATCCTGGCCCAGGTATTTGATTTTGATGCCGTTTGACCGAAGCGCTTCGACCAGCGGGCCAATCGGCCTGACCTTCATCCTCGCATTGCCAGTCAAGACGGTCGAGTCGGTCTTGGACGGCGCGCACAGGGCGACTACGCTGGTCAAAAAGCGGGAAGCCGTGCCTGCATTGCCGAGGTAGAGGTGGTCCTCGCTCGACTGCAGCTTGCCCCCTTTCCCGGTGACCACTAGGACCTCGCCGGCGTCCTCCCAGGAGTAGGTGGCGCCACTGAGCTGGGTAATGGCGGACAACATGTATTCAGTGTCGTCGGAGTGGAGCAGGTTCTTGACGCGACACGTTCCTTGGCCGAGAGTGGCGAGGACGAGGGCCCGGTTGGAGATGCTCTTAGATCCGGGAGGGGTGACGTGGACGTGCAGGCCTTCGGGGACACCGGGGTTGACACGGATTGCGGGAGAGAGAACAACCCTGATGGCGCTGTCGTCAACGACAGTAGCTTTCGGTTCGTGGGTCTGGCCGATGGCAGAGAGGAGGACAATCTTCTTTTTCCTTCCGTCGTTCTTCTTGTCGACGGCCATCTTGTCCAACAGTACATCCACCGGGCACGGCTTACCAGCGGTCAACTTGACGATGCGCTTGTCTTGGAGCGAAGTGGGCAGTTCGTAACTCGCAATGCACTTGACGAGACGTGCCACGGCACCAGGGCGTAGCACGCCGAGGTAGCGGGCAAGCTCGGCCTCCTTGACCATGCCGATAGCTACGGCCTCGCCATGCAGGACCTGGGGTGTGAGGATAGCCTCGAAGGCGTGACCGATGGAGTGGCCGAAGTTGAGGAGGTTCCTCAAGCCGCCCTCCTTCTCATCCTGGGAGACGACGTCGGCCTTGACGCGGGCAGAGCCGAGCACGATGCGTTTGAGGATGGCGCGGATGGGGAGCAGTCTCTCGTGGGGGTCCTGGGTGCTGCTGGAGCGGATAGTGTCGAGGATCAGGGCGGCATTCTGCTCGAGGGCGGTGAACTCGGCCTCGTCCCAGATGGCGGCGGTCTTGATGACCTCGGCCATGCCGTTGATGAACTCGCGCACGGGCAGGGTGGCCAGGAAGGCGAGATCTACGTAGATGCGCTTGGGCTGCCAGAAGGAGCCGATGAGGTTCTTGCCCATAGGGGTATCGATGGCGGTCTTGCCGCCGATGGACGAGTCGACCATGGACAGCAGGGTGGTGGGGACCTGGACGAAGCGGACGCCGCGCATGAAAGTGGCGGCGACGTAGCCGATCATGTCGCCGATGACGCCGCCGCCGAGAGCGATGATGACGGTGTCCCTGGTACACTGGTGGGCCAGCATCCAGTCCTCGATCTCGGCCTTGGTCTCACGGCCCTTGGAGGTCTCGCCGGGTGGGATGGTGTAGGTGAGCAGGCGGGTCTGCAGCGGGCGCGTCTCTTTGGCGCTGTGGAAGAGGGACTCGAAGGCGGGCACATAGCGGTGGTGGAGATTCGTGTCGGTGATCAGGACGTAGGTGGAGGAGGGGAGGTTGTCGAGCAGATCGGCGGCAACAAAGCTACGCCAGATATCATGCTCGACGATGATATCGTCGCTGCCGAGGATGCTGATGCGCGTGGGCCCGCCGTCGGCGCCGTTGACCTGGTGCGCCATGGCTGGCTAGCTACTTCGGAGTCGGAGTCGCTGTCGTCGTCGTCGGAGTCGCTGTCGTTTCCGCCTCGTATCGTTTTGAGAGGGCAGACACAGAGGCAGAACCTAAGCTACCTGCGTGGACGGACACATGGACACATGGACACGGGCAGAAAGACCGAACACGACCAGGCTGACAGTCATGTATATGAGAGGAGCGACGAGGGACGAGGTCGGCTGTTGGAACATGGGGATCCAGAGGCAGTTTGTCCCTAGAAGTGAGTCGACCTAGTCATATATCCGGACCTGACTCTTCCCAATCTATTTTTTCAAAGGTGGTGTTGCGCTTTCGGAGTTCTGGCTGTGTGCTGAAGAGGCGGGATGCAAGCCAATTGGCCAATCGGGGCTTTACGTGCCAGCTACTCCGACACCAGCCACAACAGGTGTGGATCCAGTGCATGGACCCATACGGAGTATTCTGGTAACCCCACCAGATATGTTGGAGGTTACCTGATGAAGGCTGCCTGGCAACCCTTTGTTGCCCCAGGTACCTCACCACTGTAATTTAGGTATTTAGATACATCTCGGATGGAATCCTTTCCATCCGACCTTTTAATCAAGCACCACCCAGACCACTGATAGATTACAACAAGACTTGTGATTTGTCAGCATCTGGGAAAGCTACCAAAAGGCACAACAGGTACCTACCGTATCTACCGGGCAATCTCAATCCGAGCCCCCCTGTCTAGCGTGAGTGCTTGCGTGTGAAAACTAGAGCGCCAGCCGCATCTCCTTGTGGCTTGATAAGAGATAATGTCAATAAGAAGCCACTTGAGGCTGGTGAGGCTCTTTTTCGCACGCAAGCCACGAGCGCTAAACAGGGGGACTCGGATTGATATTACCCAGTAGATACTGGACCTAGGTAGGTACTGTACCTACACCGCTCCAGTCAAACACCAAACACTGCATGGAGCGCCCGATCATGCAGGTACACACATACCCCGCACTCGGCTAGGTGCAGACAATATATATGTGTAAGCATAAGTATGCCATAAACAGAGATATTCACATATCACAGCTCAACTCCAGCTCATAGTATAGCAAATGTAGCCCTACCATTGTATCATACCACGTATCGTCTTCTTCATTTGTTTGCTGCAGGCACATCGTGGAACAAACTGGCTTGCCGGAGGTTAACAGCCGGTGTTTGTGGTTGGCATACCTTTAATGAGGACCTACAGTATGTAAACTCACCGTGCATCGTTGAGTCTGACCCTGACCACTTACACCTCTCCAAGCTATCCATATCTCCCTCCCTGACTCCTTTCCTCATCTTCCCTCCTCTTTCCTCCTCTTCCCTCAGGCCATTACCAGAGCCCAATCACGACCCTTATCCGTCATCCGTCATCCGGTCGCCATGCCTCTGCCCCAGGCCGTCCGCGACCGCCGTGCCGTCCTCTCAGCCACCGCAGCTGAGACGAAGGCAGCCCTGCCCGCCGTGTTGCACCAGCTCCCAGACATACGAGCATCCTTGTCCGAGGAATTCGTTCTGGACCAAGTCCCAGAGCTCGACCCCGCAGACTGTCCACGGTTCAACATGTCGTCGGATTCCGAGTCGAGCGCCACACTCGTCAAGGTCATCAACAGGGACACTCTTGACGCTGCCATCATCATGGCAGACTCTCTCGTCCAGCCCGACCCTGCTGCCGCGCGCACCCAGAGCGTTGCCATGCTCAGTCTTGCCTCGGACAAGACTCCAGGCGGCGGCTGGCTTTCTGGTGCCATGGCCCAAGAGGAAGCCCTCGTAAGCCCTTGCCGAATCTATCTCTGTCCGTCCGGATCTATGGCTGAGCTGACGGACCTCCACGCGGCAGTGCTATCGCAGCTCTCTTTCCCTTTCCCTGCACGCGTTGTACTATCCTTGGAGTCCACTAACAGGACTATACACGCGGGACGTTGTCGTGGTCCGCTCCTCTTTGGACTCAGGCCATAGGCTTCTCTCCCCACCGACGCCGGCCGCCCAGCTCCCTGTCGTCAGTGTCATCAGCGTCGCAGCCATCCGTCGGCCAGCCGTGCGCGTGGCATCTGTGGCAGACACGGGCCAGGCCGCCGTCTTCAAATACTCTGCCGACCGACGTCTGACCAAATCCAAGATGCGGCTGATCCTGCGGGTGGCCGCAAATAAGAAGCACGAGCTGCTAGTCCTGGGCGCTTTCGGATGCGGCGCCTTTCGGAACCCGCCCGAAGACGTCGCCCGGTGCTGGCTCGAGGTCCTCGGCGAAACTGAATTCAGCGGCGGCTGGTGGAGAGAGATCGTAAGTAACGTGATGCGACTTCTTTCTCCTTCCCATGGCAGCATCTCAGGTGCCATGTATTCCGCACGCTTCTCGCCGTCTCAGCTTCGATGCGGCCGCCGAGTCATTCTCGGTCTTCCCGGTCTGCCCGGTGGAATTGGATGTGAGGTGGCTTGATCTGCTGACACTTGCATGTAGTGGTTCGCCGTTCTCGATAGCCGTGACGAGGGCAACTTTCGGATTTTCGAGGGCGTCCTGGGGGGCAAGCGACTGGAATAACCATATGCATCATCGCCTGGTCTTGGGGGATCCCTCCAATACCAAGGCCAATTGGCTAGAACGATGTCTATATGGCTGCTTACTACCTACTCTCACTGCAAAGTCCATACTGGCAACTGTAGTAGGTAGTTGGGCAACCTACAATGACGGGACATACATAGTTGCCGACCACATCGACGCAATAGGCCCCGCCCGCTGTTCCCGTCCCGTCCCGCGCGTTTTTCACTCTCGGAGAGACTCGGACCTCTCGGAGATTAGGCGCCGACAAGGGTTTGGTCTTGGTCAGCCGACAGACTGACAGTGGACAGTCACTGACTCGACTGCCAGAACTGAGAAGAGGTCTTTTTCTGTGCAGGGGTCTTCTGGTACCTATCAATGTGCCAATCTCGGAGACAGGCTCGGAGAGCTGGAGGGGCGAGCGGCAGGAGAGGCAAACTCCCATTTGTAATTATGAGCGAATGGGGGATCATTCTTCCTCGGGAGGCTGTTGGATGGATATTATGGATGCGGGTACGCCTGGCAGCTTAGTTACAACTTACAAGGAGCAACATGGTCCCTCAGGCTCCTGGCCTGCGCCTTCAATATTCATAAAGCATCGTTGTCTCCTTCCTGTGGTATCGCGTGTGCAGGCCTCGTTGTCCATCACCAGTCCAGCGTCAACCAATCCGGGACAACTGTCAACCACTCCGCCTTGCAGCTATGTGGGAGAAAGCAGAGCAGCAGGGGACGGGCCTGCCTACGTCGAGCAAAGACAGGACCGGCATCATCGGCCGTCGTACTGCGCCGCCGGCCGGCGTTCTCGACCATCAGACCGGAGCCGCGCTCGAGTCCGATACGGATGCAAGCACAGATGACAACCATCAGTTCTGGCAACCGCTCGCAACGCCCGACCCTCGTCGAGCCTCGTCACACTCGTCAGCGCTCCACCCGGTGCGGTCTCGTAATGGCCACAGCTGTGCCGAGCTGGATCGCGAGCCTGGTGCCGACGCAGCCCTCCCCTCAAACCAGGCCGACGCTGAGAAGGACCCATTCGAGGTTTCGTGGGACAGTGACGACGATCCTTTATGTCCGCGGAGCATGCCTCTTGCTCGCAAGTGGTTAATAGTCATCATCGTCGGCATGGGAAGCCTCTGCGTGCAAGTTCCGCACCCTGCTCCTCACTTGAGCCTAACCCATGCTGATTGTGCGAGGTAGGACCTGCGCCAGCTCTATCTACACGTCAACGTACCACCAAATGAACCCCGAGTTCGGCATCTCAGACATCGTCGGCACCCTCGGCCTGTCAACTTTCGTCCTTGGGAGTACGTGCCACTTTGAACCTGCCACGGCGAGGTCCTCGGCTGATATGTGCTGCCTAGTTGCTCTCGGCCCGTTGCTGATGAGCCCTCTGAGCGAGTTCTACGGCCGGCGGCCTATCTATCTCGCCTCCTGGGCCATGTTTGTCATCTGGTTGATTCCTGGTACGTTTGCCCCCAATCCCAACCCGCGCGCACTTCGCTCCCGAGACTCGCCGGTGCCTTGCCGTAGCTAATGTTTTGGCAGTGAGTGTATATCCCTTTTCAGCCCTGCAGAGCCACAGAGTCGCGTCTCAATGCCACCCGATATACATATGTGAATTTACTAACGTAAGCTCTTTCGAGCACTAGAGCGCCGTCGCGCACAACGCGGCAACCATGTTGGTGGTATGTATTTTAGATTACCATTCACCAGGGTGTGCCGTGATACTAGGCAGTTACTGATGAGTGTCCAGGTACGGTTTATCGACGGCTTCGCTGGGAGCGCATTTCTTAGCGTCGTAGGGGGCACTGTCAGTGATGTCTTCAAGCGTGACGAGATCCAGGGACCAATGGCGATAATCTCGCTAAGTCCCTTCGTAGGTAGATAACCCACCAGACCATGTGTCGTCGCTGTACTGACTTGGAGCAGGTCCAAGCCTGGGTCCGTTGATCGGCGGCTTCAGTATGTGAACAGTTTGAACCTTCCCATCTAGTCAGAACTACACATGGAAGACAAAGCTGACCGTTTGGCGTCAATCACAGTCAACTACTACGCGAATTGGAGATGGACTTACTATGTGAGTTTCCACAGACTACGTGCGAGACTGACCGCATGCCTGGGCGGCAGCTTGATGTGTACACCAATGACACCATCTTTGCTGTCTCGCCTCTGTCGCTGTACGTGTGGAAACCGCTAATGTCGTATTCTGGAAAGGTTCTCATTATCTGGGCCTTCTGTTTGTTGGTGATGATCATTCTCTTTGCGCCAGAGACATACCGTTGGTCCAGCATATCTCCAATAGCCCGTGCCATACTAACCGACGTTCAGATCCCATCAAGCTTCGCCACAAAGCTAGACTGTTAAGACAGGAGACCGGCGAGCCTCGGTGGAAATCACCAATGGAAAAGTCAACCAAGTCTGTCGCGAGGACGATTGGATACTCTCTTCTGCGACCGTTCCAGCTGCTGACGCGCGAGCCCATGTGCCTTATGCTGTGCCTCTTTTCGGCCATCTTACTTGGTGTCATATACCTCTTTTTCGGGGCGTTCGCGCTGGTCTTCGGCAACAACTACGGCTTCAACCTCTGGCAGACTGGTTTGAGTTTTCTCGGCATCTTCACGGGCAGTAAGTTGTTTTCGGGCTGGCCCGCCCCTTGCCTGTCTACCCCAACCTTGACTTCGACTTTGCCGGTTCGTCGCTGCCTGGGCCCATTAAACCTTGCTTTGGGACCCCTAATACATCTTCACTCGGTGTCCAGCCAAATAAAGACACGCACGATTACTGACTAATGCTGCTGGTGCAGTGCTCGCGTGCTCTGCCAGCGACCCGCTCTGGCGCCGCTTCTACAGGAGATTGGTCGAAAAGAACGACGGCATACCTGAGCCCGAGTTCCGTCTACCACCTGCTATTGCTGGCGCTCTGTGTACGTGACCCACTGGTCATTATCGGGATAGTGCTGACTCTGCTGGTGTAGTTGTCCCTGTTGGCCTCTTTTGGTTCGCATGGACTACGCTGCCCTCTGTACACTGGATAGTACCCATCATTGGTTCTGGCATCTTCGGCTGTGGCACACTCTTGGGTACTCAAACCCCAACCCCAACCCCAACCCCTTCACCAACTATATCAGCTGTTCCAACTCTAATCACTTCGCAGTCTTCACTGGCATATTCACTTTCCTTGGTAAGGCAGGCCCCGGCGAACAATCCGAGTCCCATGCCGTGTTCATGGTCGTCAGCGGTGGACTGGCAGAGCTGACAGTTTGACAGTTGATGCGTATCCACAATATGCTGCTTCAGCACTAGCAGCCAACAGTTTCACCAGATGCACCTTTGCTGGTGAGTTCTCCTTGGGGCTAATCAACCCCACGGGCGTAGATGATCGAGTTCGGCGAACTGACTAAACGACCAACAGCAGCATTCCCGCTGTTTGGAATTCAGATGTACAACAGGTTGGGGTACCAGTGGGCGTCAAGCTTGCTTGCGTTCCTAACAATGGCTATGTTGCCGTTTCCGTACATTTTCTTCCGGTATGGGAAACAGATTCGAAGACATAGCAAATACGCCACCTCTTAAATGGTATGTCACGGATCAACTTAAAGGCCCGGATGAAAATGCCTAATACACGTTTTAAATATATAAAATTTTACTAGTTAAAAGAAAACCGAAAAATCTACCACTGTTTAATTTGATACAAAATAAGATCTTTAATTCTAACTTATAATTAACTAGTAAATATATAATAAACCAACGTATTTTTAGCACTTAGTTACATAATAATAAGTATATTATATATATATAAATATATATGTGTAAGTGTTTAAATAAGGTTATAAATAAAAATAAAAATAAGTGGTTTAACTATATATTTTGAATAAATGGTTTTACTTAAATATAGTTAGAAAACCTTTTTTTTTACCCGGCTACTTAATATTAAATAGTAAACTTATAAAATAACGATTAAATTTTGTATAGTTCTTTTTACCTTTTTTTACCTTTTTATAACTTATGAGTAGTTATAATTATACTCAATAAGTATTGATATTTTTATATGTCTTTATAACTGTAAGTGTTACTGACTGCTTTATTGTTAATTTTTTGAATAAGATAGTTTTTTTACCGTTAATTACGCTTTAAAATAGTTCATTGTGTAATAGCCTTAAAAGCTTTAGAACGTTTACAACTTAATGAAACTTAATTTAAATACGTTATTATCGTTTAATTAATCAAGAGGTATATATATATCATAGTAAATTTTCAATTAGTAAAGCTTTCATTACGCCATTATCTGCTTTTGAAGCATTAACTTATTTTTAAAAAAAATTTGCTTATTTTATAACTATATTATTTTTAATATCTTGATCGGATTAATAAATTTCTGGTTTAATGATTACGAAAAGAACCCTGTTATTTCATCGTAACTAACTTTACGAATATTTTCTTTCTTTTATACGTATCGAATTTCGCGGTCGTTTTTTTGATACGCTCTTTTCACGCCTTTTTTTTTAATACTAAGACTTTCGCTTTTATACTGCTATAGTTTAACCTTTACGTTCGTTTATCTGGATTCGTAAATAACCTTTTTATTTATCAAGGACTTTTCTTGTCGCGTTGAAACTATTTTAAAAGTAACTATTTAAGCTATAAATATTAACGCGCTTTTTTTATCTTTTAAAAAGGTTTATTTCATAAGGTACGTAAATTTTTTAATTCTTAAATAATTATACTTTAAGTAGCTAATTCTTTCATAGTTTTAATATTTTTTCTTTCCTTTATATCGTCGTTTAATATATAAAAAGTTGGTTTAACCTTTCCCTCGTTATTTTTATAACAGTTTATACGATTATGAAATTTATTAATAAAATCGGTTTATGATACTTTTATTTTTACTTTAATTTATATGTCCGTAAAAAAAAAGCTTATTATTACGACTTCAGTACGACGTTATTTACGTTCGTATTCCGTATTATTAAGTTTATAACTTTATAACGTATATAATAAGGCATTCGTCGTTATACTTATAAGCTTAAAGATTATTTTAAAAGGTTTTTTTTTCTAGCTTTATATACGGCTATAAGTCGACCGAATTTCTCGTCGTTACGATAAAAACCTCATACTAGCCCAGCTAAGCCCTTATTAAGAACGTTATAACTTTTATTATTAAAATTTAATTAATTTGTAAGTATAAGCGTAAACGAGCTTTTTTAACAAATTCCTTTTAAAGCGGTATTAAACGTAGCGTAGAATTATTAATTATTCAGCCTTTTAAAATAACGCCTTTCTAATCGAGTATTATAACGCTTAGAAAGGGTTTTGCGTCTTTTATTTTAATTACTTTTATTCCGCCGTTACGTTCAAAAGTAACTTTATTAACCTTATTCTTAAACCCTTTATTTTAACCAGCTAACTATTACTTTAACCTTTCAATCTTTATTTTAAAAATCTCGTTTTTTATTTTAAGTTAATTAAAGCCATTATAAAAGTTTAAATGTTTATTAAAAGGCTTTAATTTACCTTTAAAGGTATTAAAAAATTTAATTTATTTTTGTTAATATACAAAGTTTGTAAGTTTGAATAACGTTTAAATGAAATATGTAATAATTGATATTTAACTTATAGATTTATAAGGAAGATTTGTATATTAATAGAACTATAAAAGCTTTTTAATACCCGGCTATTTAAGATTAAAAAATAAACTTTTAAAATAAGGCAATAATTCTCTTCTTTTCTTCTTTTCTTCTTTTTAAATTCTTTTTTACCCTCTTTACCTACTTATAACCTACTATTAGTTATAATTATACATATCAAGTATAAATATCTTTATAATATATTGTAAGAACTTAATTAAATATTAGCTCTACCAATTCGTCAGTTGAATTTTTATATTTTGCCTTATTTTCACCTCGTTTAAACTTATCATGTAAGGTAATATATTTTATGAAAAAACGACTTATGCCATGGGATTAAATAAAAATGAAAATACAATAACTTTACGGATGTATCACGTTTAAAGGGTTTTCAATAACTTTTATTTATGCTGGATAATTGAATATAATTTTTTGAAAAGGTATATTTTAAAATAAATTAAATATATAATAAAACATTAAAACAATTAAAATATTGAACTAAATTTAATAAAATTTCTTGACTAGATCTTCTGAAATAACAAATAAGATTAAATATATATATAAGTATTAAAAATTAAAATAAAGGAAATATTTTTGTAAAATATTTAATTAATTATTATAAAAAAAGTCCTTATCAGTAGTTTTAATCATATAAATATATATTTTTAAAAGGAAAAAAGCTTTACTATATTAATTAAGTTTAATGAAGTAATAAACTTTTAATTTTAATTTTAAATAATTTATTTATTTATAGGGTAAAAGAATGCGTTTATAACGTAATCGTGGGGATGTGCGCAACAAAACAAGGCTTTAATACGTGTTTAGGTTCGAATCCTTTCACCGGTAGCCTGGTGGCTTGCGCACGTATCTGGTGTCTTAAGAGAGACCTGTTTCGCCTGGCGGTATCTACCTGTGTCGCGTTTGCATGTACCAATCCCTTCTAAACCATGAAAGTTTTTATAAAAGAGCACCCAGTTCAGTCCGTCCCGTGGCCGAAAAGTTGGAGATACCATGCTGGTTACCCGCTAGCAGCGTGTAGCCAGAGCAGTCTTAATAAGCATAACGATATAGTAGCGCCGGGGGGCGTTATACTTATGTATTAGATACGTAGGGATATATTCGATAAAACAAGGCTTTAATACGCAATTAAGTTCGAATCTTTTTACCGGTAGCTTAAAAGCTTACACACGTATTTATAATAAAAATATATACGTTATAAAAAAACATTATTGTGACGGAACGCTCACCATAACCACCATGCCACGACTGTTCCTCCCAAAAGGATGTCGAGTATCAAGCGTGGCAGCTTGACATTCCATGGTAGTACATGTACTCATGTCCGGGCTCCAGGACTCACCACATAGGCTACCTGTACCAGACCATGACAATTATTACCTTTTTACTTTATAAATAAAATTCAGAGTTGAACTTTAAAGAAACTTGTCCAGAGATTAATACTTTAAGTCTTTTGTAAAAAAGGCTTCCCCTTTTAAATAATAAAGCGTTTCTCAATATAGTTAATTAATTAATTAATTAATTTAAAAGTTTAAATATCTGAAATATTTAATAAATTATATTATTCTCTAAGTTCTTCTACTTATAATACGTTGGAAAAAAATTATTTTATAAACGTTTATTAATATATAAATATATAATATATATATATTTAACGTTATTCGTTCCCTTTTTTTAAGAAGAAAACGGTATTTTAATTATATGAAAAGTTTCATTTCAGTCAAGTATTCGTTATAATACTATATAATAAAATATTATCTAGGTTTATAAAATATAGAATATATTTTTTATATTTTTTAAATAAAACTTGATATTGTAAAGTTTTGTAATATAGTTTTAACAAATTTTTAAATTTTTTTCTATACGTTAATATTGAAATTTACGTTTTTTTCTTCGAACTCTTTAAATCTTATATTAATACCGAAGTATTAAAATATTATTATAACTAATTCATAAAAGAATATGATAATTATTATTATCAATTAAAGAGGTTTAAGTTATATATATTTAAAGCTTTGAAATTATTTGAAACTTTTTCATAATATTAAAATATTACACAGTAATTTTATTTATCGCTTATATAAAATATTACTACATTGAATATTTTTTAATAATTCTTTAAATAAAATCAATATTTCATTTAATTTATGATGTTAATCTTTAACTTATATGTTATAAAATATGAGGTTATTTTAGTAATACAAGTAAACCTTTGATACATAAATTTTATTGAAAGAAAAACTTAATTAATTGCTTGATTAAAAAACTTATTATTTTTGAATTATTATTATGAAAATTACTTATACCATTCTTAATATAAATCTCTTTTTAATAAACAATTAGAATTTTTTTAATAGATAAATATAATGTTTAATAAATACATTTATACATAATGTTTATATATATTATGTTAATAATGACTTATCAATAATCCCAAAGATTTCGAATTTTATATTATAAACTTTCGAGAACTTTTTAAAATAATAATTAAAATGCGTAAATAAAAGGTTTTTCATAATAAATAGATTAAATAAATAATAAGCCCTTTCAAAAACATTGAATCAGACTTTGACTATAATAAGAATGTATTAAATCTTTGTTTATAAAGTTTTGAATAATGAATTTAAAGTTAAGAATTTATTTTTCTTTGGAAAGAAATTGATTTTTTTTCATTTAACAGTATTACCTTAAACGGATTTTTATATTTCTTTAGAATTATTAAAATATTAAATGACGTAATTATATAAATTAATTTACTATTACTATTAAAAGAATGACATTCAAGTCTTTTTAAAATAAAAATCAGATTAAACATACATAAATTAGAATTTTTCTTAAATAAGTATATTAATATATAGAATTAGTCGTTTTGTCATTATTTTCATAGTTTCAAATCTCAATTTTATTATAATATTATCAATTAAATCTGAAGTT